ATCTAAAAAAATTTGGCAGCACCTCCCCAGTAAATTGACTAGTGCCTGACATCCCAACATCCAAAACATAGAAAACAACAGTTGTCCCCCCCCCCCCCACTTAAACTTTTCATTGTCCTCAATTAAAAAGACATGAAGAAAAAGGAGAAAGGACTTAGCTGGTTAAGTTTAAAATATTTGTGATGCTGCTGCCTATCAATATTGATTTCTCTTCATACCCGACAGCTGCTTCATTTTTGAATAAGAGCTCAATACTAACTGCTAAGTTTGTCGTCTTCTTCAATTCTTATGACCAGAACTAGCTGAGTTTCAGGGTTATCAGTCCTGTTGCTAAGATGCCAGAACTGGTGCTCCAGGTAGCAGGAGGTCTAGTTATTGGCTTAAAAATTGAATGGTTGCAGCAATGCACAAATAGAAAACCAGGCAGAATAGTTAGCATATCTCAGAGACTCTTAAGTAATCTGCTCTTGTAACTTACAGAAAAGATAAGCAAAAAAAAAAAAAAAAAAAAAAAAACAAAATTGAAAGCAATAAAAAAAAAACTAGGGGAAGAACAAAAATAGCCTTGGGTTGCCTCCCAGGTAGCGCTTTCGTTTAGAGTCGTTAGCTCGACCTACTTCAGTCCTCATTCCATTTGAAGCTCGATTTCTTCAATCATCCCTGCAGATTCATATTAGAATGGTTTTAACTTGTGACCATTTACTTTGAACTCTTTATCAGTTTCCAAACTTTTTATTTCAACTGCACCATGTGGAAAAATGTTAGTAATAACAAAAGGTCCTAGCCATCTAGACCGAAGCTTTCCAGGAAATAGCTTAAGACGAGCATTATACAAAAGAACTTTCTGTCCCACAGAGAAATTAGTCTTAACAATTCTTTTGGCATGAAAAGCCTTAGTTTTGTCCTTATAAATCTGAGCATTTCATAATCCTCTATTCTGATTTCCTCTTACTCTTATAGGCTAAGTTTTCTTTGCTGCCCTACAAGTTCATAATCCATATTACACTGCTTCACAACCCAATAAGACTTATGTTCTAGCTCTACTGGTAAGTGACATCCTTTACCAAAGACAAGGCGATATGGTTACAATCCTATAGGTGTTTTGTAAGCTGTCCTATAAGCCCATAATGCATCATCTAACCTAAGGATCCAATCTTTCCTATTAGGATTCACCATTTTTTCTAGGATGGACTTGATTTCCCTATTTGAAACTTTAGCTAGCCCAATAGTTTGGGGATGGTAGGCCGTGGATACTCTATGTGTTACATGATACTTTGCAAGAAGAGTGCCAAATGTTTGGTTGCAAAAATGGGTTCCCCTATCGCTTATTATAGCTTTTGGCAAACCAAACCTATTGAAAATATGACTTTTGACAAATTTTACAACAGTTTTTGCATCATCAGTTACGGTGGCTTTAGCTTCCACCCATTTAGAAACGTAGTCTACAACTAGCACAATGTAAAGATTACCAAAAGAGGAAGGAAAAGGCCCCATAAAATTGATTCCCCATACATAAAATATTTCACAAACTATGATTCCGTGTTGAGGCATTTCATTTCTTTTAGAAATATTACCTGATTTCTGACATTGCTCGCATGATGCACAAAACAGGTAAGCATCTTTAAATACTGTAGGCCAATATAAACCGCATTGCAATACTTTAAAGGCAGTTCATTGAGGTCCAAAGTGGCCACCAACTTCCAGAGAATGACCAAAATTCATCACCGATGAAAATTCAGAGTCCTCTACACATCTCCTTATCATTTGATCAGAACAAAACTTCCACAAATGTGGATCATCCCAAAGATAATATTTAGAGTCGGATTTGATTTTATCCTTTTTAGCCTTAGTTAGAAAGGGGGAAACGTCCTAGTTACTAAGTAATTAACCATATTGATGAGTCTATTTTATATATATTTTTATTTCCCGTCCCATGGTCATATTTGTGCTTATTTGAGCTGTACGGAGCTATTTTTATTACTAATATACAGTTCCTAGTGTTTTTGTAGAGTTTGTATTATTTTGTAGGAATTTGAAGATTTATGATAATTCCCGAGCTTATTAACCACTACGAAGAAATTTAAGTCGGATTGTATTTTACGACCGAATATTTAAGCCTAAGGCCGAATTAGAGAAATTGAGTTCGGTGATTAATGGCTTGATTAGAGAAGAGATAGGTCCAAAGCAACAAATTATAATATGAATTAACGGGCCAAGAAAAGCCTAAGATACAAATCCAAGCTTACAAGAGATTGTTGGGCGTGAAGCAGACGGGCCCAAACAGGTGGCCCAGTTCCAGGCTACTGCTATGTGATGTTGTTGCTGATTTGGGCTTTATTTGGGTCGGTTTTCATTGTTTAGGTTTAGGGGAGTAGTACTTTTAGTGGGATTAGGAGTTGGCAGCAAAACTCTTCTTTTCTTATAAAAGGGAATAGTAGTAGTATTAAGGGGCAGACCTCTTTACGTAGTAGTTGGATATTAGTTTAGTTTTAGCTTTTGTTTTCTTTTCTTTTTCTTATCAAGTTTTATTATTATTATTATTTAGTTTTAATATTATTTCTTTGTTTTCTCTTTGATTTAATTATTTTCATATTAGTTTATAATTATTGTTTTAATCATGCTTTCTTACTATGCTTTGCTTAGTTTAGATTTAAATATGTGTGAGTAGTTTTATTTCTAGGGTTGTGGGGATCCATAAATAATATGAAGGGGTAATTTATTATTGTTGATTGTTAATGTTTTAGATTAATTTCCTATTGATTGATTTACTACTATGCAATTAAATTAGCTGGTTTAATTGTATGAGTTATGCAATATTGATTCGAGATTCGAGAGATGAGAATTGATGTTTAGGCTTAGTTTCAATAGGCAGGTTAATTTATAAATGGTTAAGTCAAGATTCGAGAGATGCGATTTAATACCGGTAGATTAATGTTGTGATTGTAATGCGTAGCGAAAGCCCTTTATAATCTGATTAATTGATGCATTGGTAATTGATTGTTGTGTTTTACCCTAGAATATTATTTATTGGTGAACCTATACCCTAGGCCTTTTTTTATTGATTTCCTCCCTTAGTTTAACTATTTTCCATTAGTTTAATTCTCACAAAAACAATTTGGTTACTTGATAATTTAGATTATATTAATTAATTAGGAATAAAAAGACTTGTTTCCCTGTGGATTGGAGCCTACTTCCCTATCTATTTTAGTTAGTGGTTTTAGGAATTACTTTTGATTAAGTGATACGACTTTAGCATGTCACATATCGGCATACCAAGGAGTTTCAACATGATATAAAGAAAGCAATTGTTCATCAAGGAAAAAAATCACTTATCATAGGCCAATCTTCTCTAGGGACAATCCTACTCAAATGATCAGCAACTTGATTTTCAACACCTTTTTTATCCCTAATTTCTAGATCAAACTCTTGTAATTGAAGCATCCACCTAAGCAACTTAGGTGTTGAGTGACTCTTCTTTATCAAGTATTTAAGAGCCGCATGATCAGAATAAACAATCACATGAGTACCAAGCAAATAAGATCTAAACTTTTCCAAAGCAAATATCACAACATACGTTTCTTTTTCAATCACAGTGTAATTGCATTGGGCAAGATCAAGTGATTTAGAAGCATAATGTATCACATAAGACTCTTTACCCTTTTTTTGACCTAAAACAGCTCCTATGGTTTTATCACTCGCATCGCACATTATTTCAAAAGGTAACGACCAATTAGGAGGTCTAATTACAGGAGTACTTGTCAGCTTGGCTTTTAAATCATCAAAAGCTTTCTTACATTCATCATTAAAGTCAAAAACAACATCTTTAGCAAGCAAAGCACATAAAGGTGAAGCAATTTTTGAAAAATTCTTTATAAAGCGCCTATGAAAACCAGCATGTCCCAAAAATGATCTAACTTCGCGAACACATTTAGGATAAGGCAAAGAACTTATTACCTCAATTTTAGCTTTGTCTACCTCTAAACCTTTAGCGCTTACAATATGACCAAGAACCACGCTTTGTTCTACCATGAAATGACACTTTTCAAAATTCAAAACAAGGTTAGTTTAAACACATCTCTTCAGAACACGAGTTAAAGCATGAAGACATCTATCAAATGAATCACCAAAAACAGTAAAGTCATCCATAAATACTTCCATATCTTGTTCAATCAAATTAGAAAATATGCTCATCATACATATCTGAAAAGTTCCTGGAGCATTACATACACCAAAAGGCATTCTTCTAAAAGCAAAAGTACTAAAAGGGCAGGTAAAAGTGGTTTTATCTTGATCTTCAGGGGCAATGGGTACTTGTGTGTAACCTGAATAACCATCTAGAAAACAGAAGAAAGATTGTCCAACAAGTTTTTCTAACATCTGATCAATAAATGGAAGAGGGCAATGGTCTTTTCTGGTAGCTTATTAAGCTTTCTATAGTCAATACAAACTCTCCATCCATTAGAAACTCTAGTGGGAACAAATTCTCCTTTATTATTTTTGACAACTGTTATTCCACTCTTTTTAGGTACCACATGTATAGGACTTACCCATTGAGAATCGGAAATAGGATATATCACTCCTGCATCTAACCATTTTAGAATTTCCTTTTAAACTACTTCCATCATTGAAGGATTTAATCTACGTTTAGCCTCTCTAGTTGCTTTAACATTCTTTTCAAGATAAATTCTATGCATGCATAAGGTAGGACTAATGCCTTTTATGTCTGCTATAGTCCATCCTAGGGTTTCTTTGTACTCTTTAAGTATAGTCAGCAATTTTGTTTCTTGAGATTCATTTAAAGAGTTTGAGATAATGACAGGCAAAGTCTATTATCACCTAAATAATCATATTTCAAATTAGAAGGAAAGGGCTTCAACTCTTATTCAGGTGCTTTGATAATGGAAGGAATCAAATTAGGTGTAGAAGAAGGCAAATACGACTCACATTCAACAAATATATCAGGTTTCAACTCATTAGAAGAAGCCACAAAAGAATCAATCCTATATAACTATCATCTTAAAATCGTCAAAAACACCATTTTCAAACAAATTTTCAAGATTTTCCTCATCAAAAACATCCCGAGCCATCCAATCACATGCATCAAATGAATCTATAGAACTGACATTACTGATATCATTAGGGTATTTCGTAGCATCAAATATGTTGAATTTAATCATTTCGCCATCAAATTCCATTGTCAAATTACCTTCATGAACATCAATTTTAGTTTTGGAAGCCTTTAGAAAATGTCGACCCAACAATAAAGGAACACTATCAGATCTATCACCTATATCAAGCACATAAAAATCAGCAGGAAAAACTAGTTCATTCACTTGAACAAGTACATCTTCCGAAACTCCCATAGGAAATGCATTAGATCTATCAGCTAATTGGATAACAACATTAGTTTTAGACAAAGGACCCACATTCAAAGTATCATATACAGATTTAGGCATGACATTAATTGAAGCACCTAAGTCTAGCATGCATCTTTAAAAAATTGAATTACCAATTTTACATGGAATAGAAAACATGCCAGGACAGGATCCTTACATTTAGGGGGAAGTTTCTTTTGAATCACAGCAGATATGTTCTCACCCATTCTTACCTTTTCACAAGGCTTGAAGTTCCTTTTGTTAGTACAGAGCTCTTTTAAAAACTTAGCATACCTAGGTATCTGTTTAATAGCATCAAGAAGAGGGATATTCACTTCAACCTTCCTCAATGTTTCAAGAATTTCATTTTCAAGGGCTTCTTTCTTAGCTTTAGCAAATCGAGAGGGGAAAGGGGGTACATCAAAGTTCACATCAGAATTACCCTTCTCTACAGGTTCTTTCTCACTCCCTTTTTCATGTTTTTCCTTACTTTCCAAACTACATCCTTAGGTCCGACTTCTACCTCTTTCTCTATTTCTCTATTCTTAATTTTAGGTTCCTTTAACTCTTTACCGCTCCTAAGTGTTACAGCTTTAGCATGTTCATTTGGATTGGCAAGTGTTTGAGAAGGGAGCCTATTCGAAAGTTGAGATTCCAAATTACTAAGAGAAGTGCTAATTTGACCTATTTGAGTGTCTATGTGATGTAGGTGAGTGTCAGTTTTCTTTTGATATTGGACACCTTGACTATGAATTTCTCCAATTTGGGTAGTCAATTGTTTCACTAAGTCCTCTAATGATGAACCAGATTGTTGTTGTGAATTTTGTTGAACAAATGGCCTAGTTTGATTAGATTGAGAAAATGGTGGTTTAGGTCCATACATAAGGTTAGGATGATCACCCCAACCTTCATTATAAGTATTAGAAAAAGGGTCATATTTCCTCTAAGATTGACCAGGAAAATTATTTAAGGCATTGACATCTTCACTCTGTAAAGTAGGACATTCATCAGTATCATGAGAAAAATCAGAACAAACACCACATACTCTAGCTGTAGACTCATTACCAGGAACAATTTTAGACACTAAGGTGGTCAGAGTAGCAATTTGTTGAGCATTTTCTTGTAATTGATTTTTAATTCCACTTAAGTCCACATCATTAACTCTTTTAACATCATTTCTAGTGCCAAATTGTTGAGTATTTTGAGCCATATTAGAAATTAACTTCCTAGCTTCAGTTGGTGTTTTATCTACTAATGCCCCCCACTAGATGCATCTATCATAACTCTCTCATTAGGTAACAACCCCTCATAAAATTATTGAATTAGCAGTTGCTCACTTATTTGGTGTTGTGGACAAGATGAACAAAGCCTGTTAAAACGTTGCCAATACTCATATAAAGATTTGTTATAATTTTGCCTAATTCCACAAATTTCCTTTCTAATAGAACCAATACGACTCGCAGTAAAGAATCTTTCAAGAAAAACTTTTTCCATTTTTGCCCAAGAATTAATAGAACTAGGTGAAAGTTGCTCATATAGACACTCTTTATCAGGATCTTGCAAAGAAAAAGGAAAAGCATGTAATCTAATATGTTCTTGTTCTACGCCTTCAGGATTCATGGAAGAGCATACAACCTTAAATTCTTTTAAGTGTCTATAAGGATTCTCACTTGCGTTCCCATAGAATTTAGGGAGAAGATTAAGGAAACCCGAATTCAGCTTTAGAGGATTCTCTAGCTTTGGAAAGACAATGCAAAAAGGATCTTCTCCTATTCTCGAGGCTCCCAGTTCCTTCAATGTTCGTTCTGCCATGTTCTTGTATTCAATCGGTAATGGATCTTCTATTTCAAGTTCCGGTTTAGCACTGAAAATGTGAAGCAGCTTCTCTGGTTCAGCCTCGTTTAGGAAGCCTACGTATGCTTTAATGCGTTGAAGTCTTGCTTCTGGATCGTACGCGTTCATACACCTATAAAGAAAAGCAGAAATTAATGAGAAAGACTTGAAATATTACAACAGAAGTTTTAAAAATCCATTACTGGACAGAAATATTAGTTGCCAAGACAAGATGATTTGGATGCAACTATCTTCTACCAATAAATAAACCGCATTTTCATTAGCATTTAATCCTCATATAATGAAACTAGCAATCTGGAAGAAAGTTAGTAGTCTATCTAAACTATGTTAACTTGGATCTTTATAGCAAAAATCGATTTCATGTTCAAATTGAGCTAGTGCTAGGGCTAGAATTAACTTATAATGCAAACATATACCATATATCTCATTACCCTATAAGTTTTGTCTAGTTATAAGCTGCTGGATTCAAAGAATAATTATTCAGAGAGGGTAGTTAAGTTCAGTAGTTATGGACTTATGGCAGTAAGTATACTGAATTTCAGTAACAATCAAGCATCAGGCAGCTGGGTATATCAAGATATATATTATGCAATTCCATTAAATTAGTTTATATGAAAATACCCAAAATAAATTCTGCTCACAATTTACTCAAAAATAATTCCAATCAGATTATATTACTCAGATAACCTTACTTTCAGATATCCCTGGAAATTTCATAGCATATGAACATGATGTTGGACTGATAAAATAATGCCAAAGAAATCAACAAGTTACTTAAAATGTCAGACCTTCAGAAACATTTTTAAGCAGAATCAGACTTTAAAATTCACATATCTTTGGCATTGATTATACTCACTTCAATAGCAATTAAACATGAGGTAATGAATTGCTAGTCCTAAGTATGCAGTTAAAAACTTTTCTACTCAAATCACACAACATGTAAAGATAGAATCTCTTCAAATTGGCATCTAACATATTCAACAAAATGACTCTCCTGATTTTAGGACTAGGTTTACCAACACTAATGTACCTGTCAACTTTTATCATCTCATAGGACATTTTTGTAGATTCGTAACTCAAAGTTCAATGCAAGAAATCAAAATCAACTAATATCTTCTATTCCAATTTATACAATGTCAGATGTTTCTGGGAACTTCTAGGACATATGTACATGCATGATAGTATGATACCAGCTAGACAGATCCACACATGCTAATAACAGAGGTTTAAGAATAATTCTAGCAATTCTATAATCTGATCAAACACAGAACATAAAGAATAAGGACAAGATCATAAAATGCTCATTCAAAAATTACTAGACATGCTTGATCTTGATTATATTCTATAATTATTATTAAAATGTCACTCCTGAATGCTGACATTGAAAATTATCTAAGGACATAGTCAAAATAAACATTTTACAGTAATAATATTATAAGTCATTGCCAGCTTTTTAGGGTAAAAATACCCTATGCCACGTGGACCAATCAGTGCGTGACACGTGTCACCTTCAGAGTGGATCATAAGAACCAATCCCTTCTGGACACGTGGCACATACTTCCAGACCCTATAAATAGGGAGATGTTTCCCCATTGGAAACCATTCACATTAAATACCAACCAACCGAGCATATTAATTGCAGATCATTACCTCCCGATCTCGTTATTCGAGAAGATCATTAACTTCCGCATTTATTACAAACTTCATTCCGGTTCTAACTTGATCGTTGGAGGCGGAACTCCCCCATCCGGAGTCTCTGTTGTTTTGCAGGTACAGATGTCCGGATTCCAGTCTTGGTGTTGTAACTCTTCCGTAGGACACAGAAAACCCCGAAACACCAGCTATATGAGCATATTCATTAATAACAATAGCAAATTAGTTAAACTTTTCTATTAAGAACTAAAATTAATCTCCCCGGCAACGGCGCCAAAATTTGATACGTGTCGTTTACCGTATAAAATTAATTATTTAGTTACCTAACTTATTCTCCAAAAATATTAACAACTAGTAAAAAGGGTAAGTAAGGGTCGATCCCACGAGGAGATTAATCAACTCTTAAAACTTAAAGTCTAACTCGAAAAATAAACCATATACATAATAGAGTATTATTCACACTATGTACATGAGATTGGGGGGGTTTATAATCGTGATCTAATAACTAAACTACCAAGACTAAATATAAATCTACTATTTACAATAGACGACAAGCAAACCACCATTGGTATATTAATTTGATCATAGGATAAAACGATACAAGTTAGCTCCATACTTCACTCCTTTTAATTTCCTTCAATACTCAGTTTTAGTATTTAGGTAGACAAATTACCGCCGCGGTCTATTTGACATATATTGCTCACTAAAATTAGAATCCTGCTAATATACTTTCTACCCCAATAAACTGGTTTTTATTAGATTAATTCACAAACTCAACAATACTAAACTTGAGCCGCTCAAACTACTATAACTAAGTTATTTCCTCTAAATTATCAATTAACGCCGCATCAAGTAATAATTTAGTATAGTCTAATTACTTCATACAAGCAATCGTGCACTGCCACAAGTATAGATTAATTAAACATAAATGCAAGAACAAATAATCATGTGAATTAATTAAACACACAAACTAAAGCATTGAAACTTGTTTAACTCAGCGTATAAACGGTGAAACAGAAAAAATCATAAGTTTGAAGACAAATTACATCATACTCAGTTTAAGCAATAAGATTAATAAAAAAATTGAAAGAATTTAAGAGTGAGTGAAGGGAACTCATAACTAAGCCACGATCAAACGGCCGCCGCTACATTGTTGCCGTCAAGTTGTCCCTTCACCTTCCGGTATCACTCAGTCTATCAACTTTGGATCAATCGTACTCCACCAAGCCTCACAAATTCCCGATGAAAGCTCCGTAGTAAAACTTGTGTCCCCCTTTTTGAAGAGATAATTGAGGGGTTTTATAACCCATAAACGGCCTCCGAATTTTGGGTTGGAAAGGATAAAATAACACAAAATTCATCTTCTCTCTCGAATGATAATGTTGTTAAAGATATTATGGTTAGAGATGAAGATGGAAGTTGGAGCCTCGGTTTTGACGGAAGAAAATTTTCTCTTGTTTCCTTTTCATCTTATTTGCTTTTCCTTCTTTTCTCTGATTTCTTCACGTGTTTATTTTCTTTGCTTTGGTAATTTGATGTATTGCCTTGCTGCCAGGATAGTATTAACATATTACTTGTTGCTAGTTTGCCACATTGTCTTCCCTTTTCTTTTATTTGTTCTTGTTTCATCCTCTCACATGTAAGTCAACTTGAATCTCCAATCCCTAATTAACAAAATAAATGCATTAAGTAATATTTATACCAACTAATAATAAAATTTATAAAAGATAAATATATGACTAAAATTGTTTGGGGGTTAAATACCCCTAACAAGCGGACCACTGTTGACGCAACATGTGTCCCAATAGCTTGCTGACACGTGTCAGCCTTAGAGGGGCCCAAAGGGAACCAACCCTCTACTGACACGTGTCACCAAAACCCAAGAAGGGAATTGATCTCCTTCTCTATATATAGAGGAACCATCCTCATTTATAAGGAATACACATTGAATACATATTCAATACACACCAAACTGAGCAATCTTCATTGCAGAACCCTCCTGACTCAGGAGGGGTAATTACTATTTTCCGCGCTATACTCCTCCAACACGTTCTAACTTGATCGTCGGAGGCGGAACTCCCACCCTTGGGAGTCTCCGTTGTTTTGTAGGTATAGGCAGCCGGAGGTCAGTCTCGGTGTTATAACTCTCCCGCAGGACACATCAAAAAACCCTGAAACATTTGGCGCCGTCTGTGGGGAGAGTACCACTGAGATGGCTTCACAACAGTCTGTATCACCTCTTGACAGGAGGCGGCCTACAGTTGAGTTCAAAAACCGAGTGCCTCCTCCCTATCCTAAGTGTCTGAGCCGGCTTAAACGCCGCCCTACCCAGACAACTTCTAGAGTACCTCAAATGAGGCATTCACAATCAAATTGAGGGGGTTAGTAAGGCGGTTTGGTCGCCCCTTTTGGCCCTCATAATCCATTCGGCACAGTAAGCGCTCCAGCAGCCATACATGCCGTGTGGACAGTCATGTATACAGCCGTCCCCTTCTCAGGGGTCAGGAGGCAAAACAACCTTTTGTGTCCTCAAATGAAAGAGCGCTCGATTGCCAAGTACTACAGGCGTCGTGAGGCCAACTGTCAAAGCACAGGAGGCATCATGAGGCCGAATGCCAAGTACTACAGGCGTTGTGCGGCCAATTGCCAAGCACAGCAGGCACTATAAGGCCTAAGGTCCAGTGCCACAAGCTCCATGAGGTTGTACTTGCCCCATGCTTATACAGGCGGCATTATACCGCAGGCGTCGTGTGACCGACTATCTAGTACAGGAGGCATCATAAGCCCGAGTGTCTAGTGCTACAAGCGGTATATGACCAACTGTCAATGGTCAGCCGACACGCTTGTAAGCTATACTTGCAATTATATCATTATTATGATAAAAAAAAAAAAAAAAAAAAATTGCAAGTCAGGCCGCCTAACTTCCATATTATATATATTTATATTCAATATTGGAACCACTATGTATATATATTTATACTCATTTCATGAGTAGTGCATGGCTACCATGCATTCTTTAGTTTGTTACGTCGAGTATACACAAGCGGCACTTAGTGATCATCAGTTAAACCCCCATACGGTGCTACGAAGAGACATAGGTCAGGCGGCAAGCATGAGAGCAGCCACCTACCCCATTCACGCATGAACATTCGGTCATACAAATGCCGAACTTCGAGTGCATAAGGTCATGATCAAACCGGTTGTATGTGCATGAGGCCATGAATAAGCCAATGCTCAGCACAAACGAACAATCTCAGTGATTGTAATAACAAGTGGCAAAGCACAATAAAGGCTGCATCTTCAAAACCGGCTGTGAGTGCCGTAGTTGCTACTGCTCCATGCTGTGATCAATAGGGTCATGCGGCATCCTATTTAATTGAAGCTCCTCCAACCTCTTTACTCACCTACGCTTAGTTGCACGGTAATCCAGCAAGCAGCATGGTTATAATGAGTGTTTAAGAATACTCATTATTATGATATCATATTGATTAAAATAATTATGATATTATATTGATTAAAATAATATGATCAAATCATATTGATTAAAGGTTGTTAGGCGGCAACCCACTATCATATGCTCCACTATTATTATAATAAGCTCCTCCTTTGTTATTCTCATGCATGAGAATAATATATAAGGCTCTCAGCAAATATCTTGCTTGAGTTCTCAAGCATGAAATTAACGTAGGCGGCAAAGCTCAAGAATTTTGACGCCTCATGGAAGATAAAGAGTTGGACGGTCAGCAAGGCCGATCAACAGTTAAAGCTCGCGTGTGCCGAGCAGGCACCTCTAAAAGCCGTCCCACCATGGCATGAAAGCCCACAAGCGTAAGCCATTTGCTTGGGTATAAGAAGAGGGGCAGCCGTATGTAATAAGCCAGGCGGTAGCCGTATGTAATCAAATTGCCATGGGCAAACGACAAGAATGCCTAGCATATTACTCAAGTATATATCATACAAGGGTCAGATGGTATTGTAGCCCAGCTATATACAAGCGGAATTATAGAGGTGGTATTGCCATGGTATTGCCGCATCACCCTTAGAAAACTTCCTTGTGAAATGTATAGCATTATCTACTGTTATCATAATCATGTCATTATTGGTGATACAACCGGTTCAATCCCAAGCATCCGGCTGTGTATATCAGCCATAAGTGTCGCGGTTTTTTTTTCTGAGCTCTTGTTAACTAAGGGGTCAGCCGTCACTATTACGCATGGGGAGGCGGCATTATGATGCAGCAAGCTTAATTTGAGAGTATGCAGCATGCAAGCCTCCATTTCCATGCATACAAGCGTCACATTTTCATTAGCATGCAAGCCTCCATTTCCATTTCCATTTAATGCCGAGCTGTGAATGCAAGAATGGTTTGTTATACCAAAAGCATACAACCGGCAATATCCCAGCCACTATGCATACGGGTGTAAGTGCCTACTTGCTAAAGTTGGATGTGGTGCTTGAGTAATATGATGCTAAGCACCGGCTGTGTATATGAGAGCTAGACTATGTGCTTCATCCGTCTACTTCATTCTCCATTACAATGAAAGCCAGCCGACAATCATAAAAGCAGCCATGAGCTTTATTCCCGCATATGCCGTATGGGGCTTGGTTGTGTGGAAGCAGCCCTTGAAGCCAACCATGAGAGAAGCATGCACCTAACAAGCTAAGCATACAACCGGCAATTTGCACCCAAGCAAAACCGGCTGTGTATGCTTTGTATAAGCAGCTTACAATCGGCACCCAAGCAAAACCGCATCTTACTTGGTTTTTCGAAAACATTTAATATTGGTTCAAGCCTCCCTCAATGGCAGCATACCGACCGAAAAAGGTCTAAAAGTATGTTAAACAGGCTTAAAGTAGAACCACCGCCTGTGCAATGTGCATGCGGCAAAATTTAAATCAACCATCTGCTTTAACATAAGTGGATAAAAGCTAAGTCTAACTTAGCAGCTGTGTTGTTTCTTTTAAGAACAACCAAATTGAGGCCAATGGCCGGAATTATCAAGCGAAGGCCAATGGCCGGATGATCTTATTAAAATACAATAATCCGTCTGACCCAGCAGGCGTCCGGCGACGCCCATATGGGTGAACTCGTCGAAGAGAACATCTCCCTTCCGGGTGATACATTGTTCTAGCGATCAAGCGAAGGCCAATGGCCGGATGATCCTATTGAGGCCAATGGCCGGAATGATCAAGTGAAGGCCAATGGCCGGATGATCTTATTAAAATAAAACAACCCGTCTGCCCCATCAGGCGTCCGACGACGCCCATACGGGTGAATTCGTCGCAGACAACATCTCCCTTTCGGGTGGTACATTGTTCTAGCGGTCATAACGCAAACGACTTTAACCGGCTAAGGTTAAAGAAACCTCACGGCTTTTTGAATGATCCATTGTAACCAAGATACAACCGGTTTTCACTGTAAAACAGTACAACCGGTATTTTCTGCAATGCGGTACCCCCAGGCTTTACCTTAAGGTAATACAGCCAGTACTCCCCGCAGAAAATTACAACTGCCTGTACTACAAGATGGTACAAGCGGCACATGAAATCTTGGTCATAACCAGCGTTGCTTAGAGCACCCCAAATGGTTATGCACTCGAATGATCAAGCAACGGCCAATGGCCTGATGATCAAATAAAGGCCAATGGCCAGATAATATTGCACGCAAACCCTCACTTGATGGTTGACAGTCCCCCTAGGCTGGGGCTATCATCATAGTGGGGCTAAAAGCGATAATCGTCGACATCCGTCTAGTTCAGCGGCAATCATTATTATGATTTGATTAACTCGAAAAATGTCATACCATTCAAGGTATCAAATTTTCCAAGTCAATCAAATTTCTCCCTAATTGAACTAGACAGATGCCGACCAAAGAAGCTCAAGCGGTCTCGTATTCGAAAGGAGCAATCCCTCTTTAAAAATGAGATTACTCCTTCCGAGGGGCTAATGTTTGGGGGTAAAATACCCCTAACAAGCGGACCAGTGTTAACGCAACATGTGTCCCAATAGCTTGCTAGCTGACACGTGTCAGCCTTAGAGGGGCCCAAAGGGAACCAACCCTCTACTGACAGCCTTGGGAGTCTCCGTTTTTTTGCAGGTATAGGCAGCCGGAGGTCAGTCTCGATGTTGTAACTCTCCCGCAGGACACATCAAAAAACCCCGAAACAAAAATAATAAAAGTTAGTTAAATTTCTAAAATAATGACTAAAAGACACTTATAAGACTAATATTAGGGGCGAAAAATATGGTATATTATGCACTTATCACCTTGAACCTATATATAGTCCCATCTACCCTTAACTTGATCTTTAAGACCCATTTATAACCAATAGGCTTCTTTCCACAAGGTAGATCAACTAAAATCCAAGTGCCAGTCTTTTCTAATGCTGTAATCTCTTTATTGGTTGCTTCAATCCATCTACTATCTTTAACAACTTCAAAATATGATGTAGGTTCTTTTAGATGCTCAATAGAGGCAGTTAAACAAAGATGTGAGGAAGAGTTAAACAAAGATGTGAGGAAGGAAGATTCTTAAATTGTACCAAACCATGCCAATGAGTGTGAGGAATCTCAGAATCACTACTCAAATTACAAATGAAATTA